GGCCCTGCCAACCTGTCAGGCACTTGATGCTTGAGAAGTTTCCCAACACCCAACCTCAGCAGAGGCCCACCTCAGAGAGCTGGAAGCCAGGCCAGCCAGGTGAGGACCAGGAGGAAAGAGCCTTGAGCATCTCCTCCTCCATGAAGTCCTCCGGGCTGCATCTACTTGGCTGGTCCCATGTGGTGTGGTAGGGTGCTCTGAGCTCCCACCACCCAGCTGTGCCCCCTGCAGGCTCACTTGGGCCCTGTGAAGGGCAGAGCGTTTGCATCATCTGGGAAACCAGGATGAAACGGGGGTGGCGGAGTTCAGTTCCTGAGGGCTCAGCAAGGGGCTAAGGGTGCCGGTGGGCAGGCGACCACTCTGGAGGGCACAGCTGGGCCCTGTGGTCTGTCCTGAAGCGGGGTGGGTGCTGGCCCTGGGGGCCTGGGGGAGGGACCCACAAGGAGGACAGGTGGGGTTGGTCCTGGGCAGACTGGCAGGGAATGGGCCTGCGGAGACTGAGACCCGGGAGAGAACAGGTGCCCCAGGGAGGTTGTGGGCAAGCCCTGTGTCCTCCTCCTGCGAGTGGAGTCGGCGGGGGTGGGGGTGATGGGCAAGCCAGGGAGACAGTAGGGCCGGGGGCTGGTGGTGGGGAAGGGGGTGCATTTCCTCAGACTTGCCCCGCCCCTGAGCACAGGGAGCCCCCTCCCCCCAGCACTGGGGGCAGCCTCCTGTTTGCTGACATTCCACTGACTGGGCCCACCTCCCTGGCCCACAGCTTTCCTGGCTCCTCTCAGGGGTTCAGGAGGTGGGGGGGGGGGCCTGGCCCTGGGGTCATGCGGGTCCGGGTGGGGAGTTCTAGCTCCGTTTTTAAGGTGGCATTGGGGAGCCGTGGATTGCCCCCACTCCATCATCCAGCCTCAGCTTTCTCCTCTGAGAACTGGGAACGCAGACCCCTGGGCACGCGGCCTGCCCCAGTGGGTGGGAGGATGTTGGGGGGTGACCAGCCCCGTGGGTGTCTTCGGCTCATTCAGGGGTCCGCCTCACACCCATGGCCGTCTGTGCTCCCCTGCCTGGGGCGTGAGGAGGGGAGGGCAGCAGGGCCGGGTGGACACTGAGCCTCCTGAGGGATTGAGGGGTGTGGGGCGGGGGCGGCGAGGACAGGGTGTAAGCCAGGACATCGGTGGGACACCCATTTCTGCAGGCCCCTGCCTCTGCTCAAGCATCAGAGGCCTCCAGGAAGCCGGGGCGGGCGCCCAGGGACATTTCCTGCTATTAATGGAGCTTAATCTAAACAGGCCCTAATATTTACCTCTAGACGCCTCCGGCCTCCGAGGGTGCCAGACAGCGAGAGTGATGACCCCCACCCAGGCAGTGCCCTCCTCACCCTTGCTTCCTGGCTGCGCGTGAGGCAGGGACTGGGGGCCTGGAGCTCATGTTCGAGCCCCCTCCTGGATACCTGGAGCCTCAGTTTCCCTCTCTGGGAGATGGGGGTGAACACCCAGGCTTCGGGGGAGGTTTGGAGGCGCTTGCTTTGTAAATCCACTCTGGGAGCGGCATCATAGTCCCTCCTTCGTTGTCGACCCGCCAACCCCTCCCCTCCTGCGCCCTCCCTTCACCTTCAGGGATCTGGTCGGATGCTGTGGACAGTCTGGCTACCCTGCCCGTGTCCGTGCTCTCTCCCTGGGCAGGCAGAGCGGGGACCGAGGTAGAATAAGGACACTCACCCTGCTGGTCTGTGTGTGCAGGGTGGCACACAGCTACTGCCCCACAGACTGCCCACACCGTGCCACCTGTATCCCCCCCGGCACCCACCCTTCAGAGAGGCCCTGGCACCTGCCCCCAGCAGCGATGGCAAAGCCATGAGCCGCGCCCCCCCCCAGCCACAGGATAGTGAGCAATGCTGGGGGGCCGCGGGGGCCCCCACCTGCCTCAGTGCCTCTCGGTGACCCCTGCCTGCCAGCCAGAGCGCTGAGTCAAGGGCATGGATTTGAATAAACAGTTTTAATTCAGGATGAGGAAGCCTCGTCGAGGAGACTGTTTACATCAGATATAAATACACAGGCCACCTCACGTCACTTGGGCTTCTCAGAAATCTGGGAAGGGAGGCCATGTAGAGGACGGTGCAGAGGCTTCACACCCTGGCCCCCGTGGGAACAAGTCTGGCCTCTGGAGGTGCCTGGGGCCTGTGTCCCCGTGGAGGACGCCGGAGCGGGAGGGAGCTGGCTGTCAGGAGGAGGGAGCAAGTGTCTGAGGAAGTGGTGGGGGCTCAGACAAAGTCATGTGCAGTGAACCTCTCACCTTCAGCCCCCTGTCCGCCAGCTGCAAGGCCAAGGAGGGGAGGGGGAGAAGTGGAGAGTGGGGGAAACTGAGGCCCAGTGAGCCAGGGTTCTGCACGAGGCCATCAGACTACTCTCAGGGCGGTGGAAGGCTCACCCGGGGCCCTGGCCTCCTGTGTCCCCATGGTCTTCCAGTCCCCGAGGAGCCCAGGCTGGACGGTGGGATTTCACATGTGGGACAAGGGGAGGGGATTTAGCCACCCCCAATCTGGATCCTAGTTCTGCCCTGGACTCTTACGTCCATGCGTGGTGGGGATTAGCGAGACAGTGGGTGTGAAGCGGGGCGGGGCAGACCTGGGACCCAGCAGGTGCCCAATCAGTGTTTGCCGAGAGCCTTCCTCCTTCTAGAGGTGGGGAGTGTCCCAGAGGAATTGCACCTCCTCCACCCCCAAGCACAAGTCAGCTAGTGTCAGCCATTCACTCTCTAGTATGAATTAAAGCGAGAACCTGGCATCGAATCAGGGTGCCGACCCTGGACGAAAGGCCACAGGTGCTGCTGGGCTGCGGCAGACACCGGGCACTGACCTTCCCTCCTCTGCTGTGTGACTGCCCAGGCGCAGGCTTGCAGGCCTGGGAGAGACAAAGCTGTCGGGGCCTCCCTGTGAAGCCCAGCTGTCGGGGCCTCCCTGTGAAGCCCACCATTAGTGTCACTCCCCAGGGTCAGCACCGCTGTCACCACGGGCTTCGTGGAACAGACAGCCCACTCTTGTGTCCTCCTTTCCCAAGAGCCAGGCCCCTCCTGTGCCCCGTGCAGCTCTAGGTCCCTGGGGAGTCGTGGGCCTGCTCTGAGCTGGGAGGTGGGGGGAGGCTCCACACTGTGCCTGGCACCCAGGAAGGACCAAGGATGTTGGTGCTAATGCTGACAACCACGCCCCTTTGCTTCTCGAGCACCTGTGCCCAGCACCCCTACCACCGCACTGAGCAAGCCCTGGACTCCCCCAGGCTCCAGCACTCCCACCCTGGCCTTCCCACAAGGTCCTGGGGCCACAGGCGCTGACCCCGCCAGACTCCAGCAGATCGTACTGGCTGCACAGTCTGGCCTGAGTACTCACTCTGTAACCTTGGAAAGGTCCTTTCCCTCCACGAGCCTCAGTTTTCCCATCTGATATATGGGGATATAAATGGTCCTCCTGCCTCCCATCCAGGCCTCACACCAGGGCCCTGATCTTGGGGGATGAGGGACTCTGCCTGGAGCCACCTATCCCATGGGACTTTTCAGACAAGGGGGCAAATCTGAGGCCAAATTCCATCTCACCTGTTTCAGTAGTGGCCATGTGTGAGGCTGGAGCCTGGTGGCTAGAGGTGCCTGGGAAGCCCAGAGCTCCTCTCTCAAAACAGGCATCCTCCCCTGAAACAGCAGTCTAGAAACGGCTCATGAGAGCTTGAACATTCAACAGAAGGCACATGGAGGCGATCCTGGAGTCCAGCTCAGAGGAGGCGGCCAGTGGACCAAGTCAGAGAAATGCTCCCTTCTTAGGAAAGGTAGGGGCTTCCCAGGTGGCATTAGTGGCAAAGAACCCTCCTGGCAACGCAGGAGCCTTAAGAGACGCTGGTTCGATCCCTGGGTCAGGAAGATCCTCTGGAGGAGGGCATGGCCACGCCAATATTCTTGCCTGGAGAATCCCTTGGACAGAAGAGCCTGGTGGGCTACAGTCCATGGAGTTGCAAACAGTTGGACATGACTGAGGCGACTTAGCACGCATGCGTGCAGGAGAGGCAGGGAGGCACGGTGAGCCAGGCGAGAGGGAGAACAAGGGCTCTGTGCGTGGCCAGACGTGGCCTTAGGCCAGCAGGCCTGGGTTCAAGTCTGTCTTTGCCCTTGCTTTCGCATCCACAGGATGGGGCCAGGAGTCTACTGCCCTCCTGGGTCAGCAGGCAGGGTCTTCCGAGATGGTTCCTGGAGTTGGGGGCGCTTTGGGAAGACGTGAGCTGTGTCCATGGGGCAGGCGTGGGGGCGTTGGAGGAGGTGGGGCTGGGTTTTTATTCTGACTTGCCTGTTGCCCAGCCAGGGTGCCTGCGTGTGCCACTCAGCTCCTCGCCCGGAGCGGGTAGAACACAGCGTCTCCTTTGTGGGGTGCAAGTGTCAGCCCAGAGAGCACAGTGCTCACAGTGGAGCACCCCACGGGGTCAGCCTGTCTTTCTGGGTGACTCACGGGTGCCTCAAGTGTGGGCCCTGCAGGTGTGAACCCCTCTCGTCTGGTCACATAACACTTGTGGCCTCTTCCCTTCTGTTCTAGCTCTTCTGTCTCTGGGGGGCAGGGAGATGAGGGGGGAGGGGTGGGGAGGGGACCTCTTCAGGTCACTTTTTAAACCCTCTTTGAAATTCCTAGTACCTTAAAAGTCTCTGTCCCTGTTTCACAGGAACCCTTTCTGGGGGTAGAATGATCCAAGTGGGAAGTAGCTCCTGGCTACCCCTCTGGGTCTTCAGTGGACACAATATACCCCAGGGGTGGCAAATAACCAGCATTCAGTCCACCACATCCTGTCTAGAGCCCCTGGCAGACACTGTCAGTCAATCACAGCACAGTGGCCTTTGACTTCATCTCCAGGCAGGGCGCTGGGCAGCCATCACCGACCAAGGGGAACCCAGTCTGCCACTCGAGTAGAGCGGATATCTGCGCTGTCCCCGGCCTGGCCTGCCCAGCCCGGCCCCGACCTTTGGCTGCCTTAGAGTCCTGCCGACTAAGCCTCAGGCCCGTTAGCCAAGGCCTGCGTGACGGCTCGAGGTCTGGCCCCGAGGATGTGATGGTGGGCTGAGCCCTTGGAGCTCTTGTGCACGCTGACCACGTCGCAGCCGTTGGGCTCGCACTCTGCTCCACGCCGGCCAAAGAGGCCGCGGACGGTGGTCTGGAAGCTGCTGGTGACGAAGCAGTAGACGATGGGGTCCATGCAGCTGTTGAGGCTGCTGAGGGTCACGGCCACGTGGTAGACCACGAGGCTGGCGCGGCGCGGCATGTCGGGCCACAGAGCCACGGCCACCTGGCGGGCGTGGAAGGGTGTGAAGCAGACAAGGAAGATGACCAACACGGTGAGCAGCAGCTGCATGGCCCGCACGCGGCGCTGGCGGCCCTGGCGCAGCAGGCCGGGCCGCGACAGCGCGCACACGATGCGGCCCGTGAACACGCTGATGACCAGCAGCGGCAGCAGGAACTCCAGGACGGTCAGCGCGAAGATGCGGCAGCAGGGGCCACCGGCGGTCGTCACGCCCAGCACAGACAGGGTCACGGCGCCAGCGGCCAGCCACACGAAGGCGCACACGGCCCTGGCGCAGGCTGGCTGGCGCCAGCGGCGGGAGCCTTCGGGCCGCACAATGGCCAGGTAGCGGTCCACGCAGATGCAGGTGAGGAAGAGTATGGAGCAGTGCATGTTGAGGAAGTAGCCGAAGACGTGGGGCAGGGCGCAGCGCAGGCAGCCGCGGGCGCCGTAGAAGACGGCGAAGCGTGTGGGCAGGGACAGGCCCACCAGCAGGTCGGTCACCACCAGGTTGATGGTGTAGACAACTGACGGCGTCTTGGCCCGTGTGCGGCAGCCGAAGACATAGAGTGCCAGCCCGTTGAGCACCAGCCCTGCCAGGAAGATGACGCCATGCACCGCCATCAGCGCCAGCCACAGGCCCGGGAAGGCGGCGTGCAGCTGCTCGTCCAGCTGGGCAAACCGGTGGAACAGGGGCATCTCCGGCAGGCTGACGTTGGTCCACGCCGCCGCCGCTGCCGCCGTGGCATTGGGGGCTGCCCCAGCCGAGGGGCCCGGGGGAGACATGGAGGCCATGACAGTGGCCAGCGCTCCCCTGGCCTGGAAGGAAGCAGAACGGGTTACCCTGGGGTTATTGGAGCCCTGCCCGGAGGCTGGACCCCACCTGGCTCGGCTGCCCACCCAGCACCCTGACATTTCCATAGTCATACCTCTGCCTGGCCCGGCCCTGGCACTTGCCAACGTGGAGCTTTAGCTGCGTGCTAATGCTCTGAACCTGCTCCTCACTGTCGCAGGAGGTGAAAAGCCTTGCAAGACTGCCACCAGGACTGAGACAAGACAGAGGAGAGTAGTGTGGCGACAGGCAAGATGAAGGCCAGGTGTGTGCTGTGCGAGCCTTGTCTCCAGACCAGTTCCTCCCTCACTTGCTGCGCAACTTTAGCTAAGTCACTTAACCTCTCTGTGCCTCACGCTGAGTCCCAATCTGTATCACTGGGATTGCAGAGCTGCTGGGAAAATTAACTGAGCAGTGCTCAGTGCATCACTGAGTGAGTGAGTGAAAGTTGCTCAGTCGTGTCCAGCTCTTTGGGACCCGATGGGCTGCAGCCCGCCAGGCTCCTCCGTCCATGGGATTCTCCAGGCAAGAATACTGGAGTGGGTTGCCGTTTCCTTCTCCAGTGGATCTTCCCAGCCCAGGATTGAGCCCAGGTCTCCCAAATTGCAGGTGGATTCTTCACCGTCTGAGCCACCAGGAAAGCAGAGCATCACACTAGTGGGCACCAAATAAAGCAAAGTTCCGCTCGGTGAGAGCTGTGCCCACGGCCTGCCCAGCCCCCAGTCCCCACGCCCGTGCACCCCGGCCGCTGTCCTCCAGGCCACCCAGCCGTTCTCACCTCCTCCAAGGCTGGCACCAGGTCAGTGACCTGGGTGAGGGTCCTCATGTGGGTCTTTTGCCCAAGGGCCTGGGACTGGGGATGCTGAGAGTCAGCCCCTGGCCGCCCCGGTTTCTTCCCAGCCCGGAGAGATGGCCACCTTTGCTGTCTCAGAGGCTCACGTTGGGTGGCTCGCTGCGGCTGGAGCCTGGAGCCAGGTCCCAGCAGCAGCAGCAGGGCGTGAGTTAAATAAACGCTGCAATCCCGGCCTGCTGGCCTAGACTAGGGCTTGGGGGTGGGTGGGGGGCTGCAGCCGCCCACTCTGTTTATGTTCCTGCTGAGCTGTTTAACTTGCTGAGATTTATCCCTTTGTTTATAAACGAAGGGTTAACAGGCTCTCACCCCCACCCTGGACTGGGCTGATCCTCCAAATAAGGACATTTCTGGCTTTTTCAGGAGAAAGGAGAAGGCTTTGGGGAGAAACAGGGAGGAGACGGGGGCACGGGGGAGGTCCCCGGTAGAGTGTGCCTCCCCAACTGTAGGGGAAGGGAAGACATCCCCAATCCTGGTGACCAAGGGAAGTGAGGCGTCTGCGTGAACAGGCTGCCCGCTGTCCACTCCCCTGGCCAGTTACTGCCCCTCCTTGGGCACAGGCTCCTTCTGGCAGCTTCCACCCAGCAAAGTCTGGCCTGCTGGGGGACGGGGGATCGAAAGCCCAGACCGGAGTGGGTGGGCAGGGCACCGAAGCGCTTGCTAGCCAAGGCTCAGGTCCCAACGCAGCCTGGAGGGAGGCCCTGGCATGGCAGGCCACCTTCATCCTCCACTCAGAGAAGGTGGCACCAGCTGAGCCTCTGTGTCTCGGACCCTGGCCCTGGGCATCTGCTGACCCTTGGAGGCGGCTGGGAAGAGTCTGATGCTGCCCAGGACAGTGGCCAGCCCTTCGTGTCCCCTCCGGCACAAGTGGGCCCAGGCTTCCACTCACAGGGCACTCTGAGAGGTCTGCCCTCTGCCTGGGGTCCCCAGCCCCTGACACACAGGGCCCTTGGATGTGTTGGCCCATTGGCAGGCAGCTCGGGGGGTTGGGGAGTGAGAAGGATGTCTGGGGCAGGGAGAGACTCTATAGGCACGAGTGGGCAGCGAGGGGAGGTCACGAGGCTGGGCCGTGGGGCTGTGGGCCTCATCCCCAGGCTGCGGGGGCGCCAGGACCCCAGGAAGAAGAGCGGTGCCTCCAAAGTGTCCCTCCTCTCCTGTGAAAAACCCGAAGCCCTGCCAAGACCCGGGGAGTGCGGAGCTGGCCCCGACACGCGGCAGACCAGTTTTTGACTTCCCTTCCACGTGCTTTCAGTTCTCCGATGTGTCTGTTCGGAGTCTGCATCCGTGTCATGGTCCGAGACAGATAAACATCACAGGATGTTTCCTCTGGGAGACAGTCGCAGGATGACGCCGGCCCCATCCCGGGACAGTCCCCAGGGACAGCCTCGCACGTGGGCCAGCAGCTCGCTGAAGGCTGTGGGCCAGGGCGGCAGGCCCGGGGCTGCAGAGGTGGGCAGGCAAGGACGGAGGGCGTCTGTCACGCACACACTGACACGTAGGTGCGTGAGTCTGAGCAGCATTTGGGCCCCATGCTGGGCGCAGACCCTGCTCACACACTGAGCTCCATCCCGGAACACCAGGAACCTGCGCATCTGGGTCACGGCCGCAGCCTGGGCCCTCGGCCCTGGCTTCCTACACCCTCAGCTCCTCCTCTTTGCCCGCTGCTGAGTCTGGCTGTCTCTGTGTGATCAGACCCCCACTGTGCCGGCCCACTCACCCACCTCTGGCACGCACCTCTCACGGTAAGAATACACAGTGACCACTCTCTGGGGCACCTACTCACCATCGCTTCTGCTTTGCAAGCTGAGGAACGCGAATGGTGAGACCCTGGACCCTGTGGTGGTGGCCCGGCTGCAGCCCCATGAACCCATGACCTGGGGCCCTCCCCGGTCTGGGGCTGGGCTGGGGCTGGGCTGGGAGTGTCTGGGCTAGGCAGCTCCTGCCCCACACGGTCTCAGGGAGGACACTCCGTCTCTGGGCCCCTGGTCTCCACTCTCTCAGCTCTCTGTCCTCCTGAGGCTCCCCAGGATGGGTCCCCCACCCGCTGAATCCACTTTGGTCAAGTGCGAGTCCTTCCAGCGGGCCCCCTGAGGCCTGAGCCGAGCGCCCCTCGCACCCCCACAGGCTCAGCATCAGCCCTGCCCCACCCCACCCCACCCCACGCGCCTGCCAGCCCTCCAGGCTCGGGCCGTCTCACTCTCTCCACCGCGGCCCCTCACCCCTCTGTCCACACCTGGCATTCGATGTCACAGCTGGTGACAGACAGCTGGGGGTGGGCGGGAGGGTGGGCACTGCAGGGAATGTATGAACAGTAATGATCCTCAGCAGGAGGGCAGGAGGAGAAGGGGGCGACAGAGGATGAGGCGGTTGCATGGCATCACTGACTCAATGGACAAAAATGGAGTTTGAGCAAACTCCAGGAGACAGTGAAGGACAGGGAAGCCTGGCGTGCTACAGTTCACGAGGTCGCAAAGAGTTGGGCATGACTGAGCAACTGAACAACAGGAAGAGTAACCAGCGGAGGAGGCACGGGCTGGGGGCCGGTCCCGACTCACCACCGGTTGCCCCAGTGCTGATTAAGCTCTCTGAGCCTCCACCTCCCTGCCCGCAGTGATGAAGCTGCAGCACCTTCTTTCTGCAGCTTCCAAGTGGGTGCGTGGCATCTGTTCCTGGGCAGGGCGGGTGCTGGTGGTGGTACCTCCTCACCCACTGGCTTCTGGCCTCCTCCACTCACGCAGAGGAAACCGAGGCTGAACACTGCGAAGAGCCTGGGTGCTGAGATACAGCTCAGCGGGAGGCAGGCTTCTGGCCAGAGGTGACCTTACGGGCCTCCCTCACGGGCTCCCCACGCCCCTCATGGCCCCACGGGGCCTTGGGTGAGGGTCTGGCCCTGCAAGGGTTCTCTCTGAGCCTCAGTCTCTTCTCTGGTGATGTGGGGACAGAAACGGCTGCATCACGCTGCCCCTCGGGGCTGTTGTGGGCCTTCACTGAGATGGAGCTCCTCGTGTAGGAGTGGAGAGGTGGGGCAGGGAGCAGGTGGGGTGCTCTGCTCCCCCTCCCCCTGCTGGGAGACCCTCTGGGCAGGCACGGGCGGGGAGGGGGTGAAGGTCTGCTCCTCCCTGAGACGCCCCTACCCCCAGGCATCTGGCCACAACTAGCCTTCAGAGATGTGGCTGCGGGGGCAGGGGTCCTCCCTGGGAAAAGCCTGAGGTTCTGAGTAAAGCTAGGGGAACCCCGTCCCGTGTCTCCCTGCACTTCAACCGAAGGAGGACGCCTCAGGCACCCCCCAACCCCCGTGCCTTTCCCACGCCGCCCCGTCTCCCACCCCTGCAGTTTTCCTGACTTCCAGGGCCGCCTCCAGCCCCAGCTCCTCAGGAAGCCTCTCTCCCCCTCGCCAGCTCTCCCGGGGGCTCTTCCCCCGGTTCCCTCCAGCCCAGGACTGCCCCACTGTCCTGATGAGGCAGTTCAGGTGGGCCGGCTCCTCCAGCGCCCGGGACGGCCGGGCACAGAGCTGCACCCATCTTTCTCTCCGGCTGAGTGAACCCCTGCGGGAGTCCGCAGGGCCAGCAGGACGAGGCCCCTTTCTCACCCAGGCGTTCGGGGCCCTCCCTGCCTGGCCGAGCCCCTTTGGAGTCCCAGAGCCTGAACTGGCTTCTGCCCTCAGCTCCACCTTCACTACCCATCAGGCTTCCCAGCTGAGCAGGGTTAACACCTCTTCCAGGAAGCCCACCCCGCTCCCGACCGTCGGGTCCGTGGGTCCCCGTCATTCTCCCCCCCGCAGCCCCCGGCCCTTGGCGCTTGTCAGTGGTGTTTGGTCCAAGTCTCAGAGCCTCAGCGCCTTCACCTGTGAGTCTGGGATTGATGTTTTAAGTGGACAAGTGAGCAAGCCAACAAGTGACGTCGTCAGGGCAGCTTTGGGCGGTGGGTGGACACACACATGCAGGGCCCCTGCACAGAAGGTGCGTGATGACAACAGCGGCCCTGCTGGAGGCCCCTGGTCTCCCACCCGGACGGCGGTCCCCCTGGGCCTGCCTGCCCATTCTGGGGAGACGCCTGGGTGTTCAGTGCACAGATCCTCAGAGCCTTTGTGATGCTCCCAGGGAATTCCCAGGGAATAAGCATCTTTTCCTAAGTTACCTGATCCTGTCCCCTCCTGGGGCTCTCTTTCTATCCAGCCTGACCGTCACCCCAAGGGCCCACACCCAGGGCACTGACAGGGGGTCGTGCCCGCTGCCACGTCTCACGGCTTATGCGTCTTTGCTGTGTGTCCAGAAACACAGGCCAAGACCCAGAGGCTCAGGGTGCCAGTAACTGCCCAGAAACCGTGAGGGGGCCCGGGCCACTCTGACCTCTCACCAGTGTCCCAGGGCGGGGCCCATCCTGACCTCGTCCCGGTCTCTCTTGGAACCATACTGCTGTGCCTGTGTGTCCTCTATCTGCCCAGCTGCCTAGCGGATGCCAAGCCCGCAGACTGGCTGCCTCCCGTCCTGCCGCATACGGGACCAGGGCAGCCAGGGGCCCTGGCCTCGGCCCTGGGAAAATAGGTAGCTGCCTGGGCGTGTGATCCAAGATCCCGTGTCCTTCCTGCAGCTCCCACACCTGGAGCCGGGAGGGTCAGTGTGGAGGACAGGCCCCCCTTCCCCACCAAGGTGCCCAGAACATCCACTATGGGCCAGTCGCCGTCAGATACTCTGCACCCACATGGCAGTCCTGGGTTTTATAGACAAGGACGTGGGGGCCTGGAGAAGTGAGTGTCACGCCCTAGGACACACAGTGTGAAACTGAAATCAAAGCCAGGTCCACTGGCTCCCGGCCCAGCAGGAGTGGGATGAGAGTGGGGTGGGCGTCTCTGGACCTGGGGTCCGTGTGCAATTGGATTCTGGGTACACGGAGTACCTGGACATGCCTGTGCCCCCGACGGGGTGACCCTCACAACCTCCCAAGGCCAAAATAGCCCTTACTGGAGAAACCACCTGCCTGTTTATTTTGCTGATTATTCTTGGTCTCATGGCATCTGCTTGAGAACACGGCCTGCTGTTTTTGGCTAGTCTGAGCCTCTACTTCTTCCATCCAGGGACAGCTGGGCCCTTACTGGGGCCCCAAGGGGGCCAGACTAGCTCTGGGTCATCTAGAAGGCCCCAGGGGGCACCAGCTGGAATCAAGGTCCCCATCCTGGTCAGGGCTCCCTCCACCCAGCTTAGGGACAGGGTCACCTGGGTGTGGGCTGGGTGCTGGGTGCCTGGCTCCAGCACGCCTGACTCAGCCTCACGCCCCACCGTCTGAGAGCCCTTGGCCGAGGCCTTGGCTCTAATGGAAACGCAAGTTTCTCTGGGAGGGGTGGCCCCAGGCCTTGCCCCACGTGGGGGTCCTGCTGCGTGTCAGACAGCCCTCCCTGCCACCCTGGTTCACCCCTCACTTCATCCTGATGCTGAAACAGGTGTAGCACCCGCCTGTCTCCCCCAGCCCAGCCTCCCTGGCACGGTGGGACAGGATCCGTGGCTGCACCCACCTGGCCTCTGCCTAATCCCTCGGCCTGGCATGCCACCTGTGCCTGCATCACCTGCTGAAGGCTCCTGGCACCCACAGCCCCCCTCCTGGGCTCCTGGACACCCCTCTACTGGGGCAGAGCCGCAACCCCACGGTTCACGGGCTGTCTCTGAGATGACCCTTTCCAGGGCCTCACGACTCCTGCCAAGGTGCCCCACGTTGGTGTTGCTGGCCTCATTTTGCCTGTTTGGGAACTGAGGCACAGAGAGGTTAAGTGGCCCATCTGGGGCCACCCAGCTGGGCGTGGAGGAACTGGGCTTTGAGCCCTGCCCTGTGCCTGCCGCATGCCACTGGAGGTTCCCCAGGGCCCACTGTGCAGGGGGCTCAGAGGTCCAGGGCTCTGGCAGCTTGCCCCAGGCCACACAGCTCAGTGGCAAGGTCAGGGGAACTGTGAGAAACACGTCTCAGAGGCATCAGACCTGGCCTTGAACCTGGTTCCGGGGGCCCGGAGGGCCTCAGACAGATCTGGTTCCAGTTTGTGGCACTCACAGCCAGGGGCAGGGTGGGGGGAGGAGGCTAGACAGTGGCTGGGGAGATCACTTTGGCTGGTCAGGAGCAGGAGGGGCCTCAGGAGGATCTGGGGAGACAGGGTTCAGGGCGGTGGGATGAGAACAGCAGGTGCAAAGGCCTTGAGGTGGGAGTAGGCTCCTCTGCTCAGAAGCACCATGGAGCGGGGGCTGAGAGCTGGCAGGCGGAGCAGGCTCAGCCTCCCCCAGTGCGCCTCAGGCCCCAGCGCTGCCTCCTCCGGAAGGCCCTCCAGGACCACCCAGCCACCCGCACACCTTCACCTTCCACCTGCTTTCTTTCTCTGGCAGCCCTCTTGTCACTCAACAGCTTCACATTTATTTGTTTCTTGCTTTTCCCCTACTGGACTGGCAGCACCATGAGGGTCAGGGCTTGGGCTGTGGCTAAAGGAAGCAATGGATGATTTGAGAGCCCTGCTGGGCTCTTCAAGCCTTAGTGTCCTGATCTGTAAAATGGGCATGACCTCATTGCATCAGGTCACCCGCGGACAGGCTCCCAGCAGGTGCTCAAGACACGTCGGGTTCCTCCCCTACACGCCAGGCCTTGGAAACAGCAGACTCTGCTGTTCGTGAGGCTCAGAGAGGGGCGGCCACTTGTCCACGGCCATGCAGCCGTAAGGGGACAGGGTGTCCTGGCGACCCTCTGGCTGAGAGTGAGCATATGTTGGCAGAAGAATATGGGGGCCACCGGGCAGCCCCAGCCGCCCGTCCGAGGGCCATGCATGCTGCCACCAGCCCAGTCCCTTCCGTTCCCAGTGCTGCCCCAGGACGCACAGCTGCTCCTCATCCGCCCTGCCCAGCGCCCTGGCCACTGGCCAGTTCCCAACCGGCCCTCCCCCCTCGGGACCCTGTTCCTGCTGCCTTCTCAGGGCAGGCACCGCCGGCGAGCCAGGCGGGGGCAATGCCAGCTGCAAGGTCCGCGCTGGGGGCTGGCACGCCCTGGGCCTCAGTTTCTCCGGCCCTCCAAGGGCCTGCGCTGCGGGGTGGCGGGGGGCGTGCCCTGCGTGGACTCTGTCCCCACAGATCCCTCAACCCCAGCCCTGCCCCAGCACAGGGACCATGGCGGCCACGGTCCCAGGGCTCATCCAGTGCCTCTGGGGTCCCCTGACCCCTTCCCTGGCCCTGCCCCTGGGACCGCCCAGATGGGGAAATCAAGGCACCTGGTAGATGACAGCTAGAGTGCTGAAGCAAGGAAGGAAGGAAGGAAGTACAGAGGAGGGCGTTGAACCCCGCAGCTCGGAGGGGCTCAGGGCAGCAGGGCCGCCCCTCAAGCTCTGGGGAACCCCCCCTCCCCAATGCTCACCCAGCCTGGTCAGCTGCAGCAACTTTACCTTCGCTCTCAGCTTTCCCGTCTGTGCAATGGCTCCCTGCGGGGCAGGACCTCAAAGCCCCTTGCCAGCTCTGAGCTCTCTCCTTCCCAGTCTTTCTCCGCCGCTGGCCCCCGCCTGCCTGCCCGCCTGCCTGCCTGCCTGGGGTGAGAAGACCCTGCACTGACCACCTCATCTCAGGGAAGGGAGGCCCCGCCTGCCCGAGGGGGACTCACCGCACCGTCTCTGGCTGGGAGAGGAGCTGGCCTCTCGCCGCAGCTCCTCGGGCTACTAACTCCCGGGCTGTGCAGACCGACCGCGCCTTCCTGGGGCCTGACGTCAGGCCTGATCGGGCTCCTTTTGGGCAAGGCGGCGGTGGGGGCGGGGTGGGGCGGGGTGGGGCGGGACGGGCTGCTTCCCCGCCCCCGCCAGCCCCCTGAGGAGCCTGGTCCCAGGGCCTTGGGGGAAGGAGCCTCGGGCCAGGGGAGTCCAGTGGCGGGGCCAGACGGGGGGGAAACTGAGGCAGAGGGCAGCATGGCGGCTGCAGCACCCGGGAAGGGCAGGCAGGGCAGTGGCACCCTGGCTCTCTGCACCCCGGCGTCCGGTCTGGGGAGCCCGCCTGGGTCCTGGGGAGCACAGCTGGCACCCGGGGTACCACATGTGCTGTGGCGGGGGCTCACACAGATGGGCCTTTCTGTCTGGGGGCACAGAGGCAGGGCCGTGCCTCCGGCCATCCCGGCTGCCCCGCGCCATCTACTTCCTCACCCTCCCCAGCGCTGTCTGCCCTTCTGACCCCGCGGCGCCTGTGACCGTGACCCAGGGCTCCAGCACTCGCTGTTCGGGTCTGTGTGTGTCCACGCGCGAGTGTTCCGGGGGTGGATGTGGCTTTGCGGGGGCACAGGCATGCCTGGGTGTGTCCGTGTGGCTGACACCAGCCTGGGGCCGTGTGTGCCTTGGCACGACCTCTGTGGGTGCTGCAGGGACGCAGGGTCGGGGCGTGGGAAAGACCCGCGTGTGCGGAGGGCTGGGAGGGCGGGGCAGCCTGCTCTGGGAGGGGCCACCCCCAACCCCTGGACAGACGTCCTGGGCAGGGAGGAGGCTGGGGGCCAGGTTGGGGTCAGGCTTTCAGGGTCAAGGTCAGGAAGGGCTCAGGGCCAAGTCTGTGATGGGCCGCGCGCCTCCTCTGGTCTCCTGTCCCCTACCCACCCAGACCCCTTGGCTAAGCATCCACCGGGCTGGCCATGGGCAGGGCGCTGGGCTCAGGCCTGGGACTGGCCCTGGTCCCCACGCTCTGCATCTGGAGGGGACACGCTGCCGTGCTCCAGCAGGAGGGCGCCTGCTGTGGTCAGGAGGGCAGCGCCGCGCTGGCCGAGGCAGGGGTGACGGGAGGCGGGCGGCCTGGGCCGGCAGAGGCAGGGGAGGCCCTTGGGCTGCGAGTGGAGGGCGGGGTGAGCCCGGAAGCTGGGGGTGAGCAGGGGACTTCCACACTGGGTCACGCCTGCCCCTCTGGGGACCAGAATCGGCACTTGGCTCTGAGGGCAGCGGGGAGCTATGGAAGATTCTGGGGGAGGGTGGTCCTTGGAGCAGTTTCCCTGCCACCCTCAACCAGGCTCCCCACTAAAGCAGGGCTGAGCCAGCAGACTGGTCTCCTTGGAACGCGGTCATGTCTGCCTCAGAAGGGGAAACTGAGGCCCAGAGGGAGGCAGGAGCCCCCGGCCCATCCTGGTCCCTTGCCCAGGGGCTGGCGCTGGCTCCTGGCTGGCAAGGCAGGGGCAGCCTGGGTCTGGCTGGGGCAGTGTGGACTCAGTGTGGCTTCTGTGTGCGAGCACGTGGGGGGGCACCCCGGAGCCAGCCAGGCTGTGGGGGGTGCGGGGGGCTGAGCCATCCGAGGGGCAGATTTTATGAGCCGGAGACGGCTGACTGCCGCTGAGTCACCGGCTGGGCTGGCCAGGGCTCATGCCCGCGCTAAGGGCCGTGGGGCTCCCCCGGGCCCGGGAAGGCTGCTTCCCCAGGAAACCTCGGGGAGGGTCTCTGAGCTCAGCGGGCACTGTGCGCAGCCGGGGCTCACCCTTTACCTCAGAGGGCTCTCCTCTGCAGGACCCCGGGGTTCTGGGGTGGGGGTGCTGGAGCCCTCGAGCTTGGGGAGACCCCCCTGAGGCCTTCAGTGGAGACGAGTACACAGGGATGATCTTACCCTTATCACCTCCTGACTCAGGCCAGGCTGTCTGTGTCTGGGGTCAGTGGTCATGTGTTGGCTGGGTCAGGGGTCGAGACATCTTCTGGTGGATGGGACGGGAACAGTTTCAGGTGTGGTTGCCCCTCGAAGCCCAGTCTAGTGAAGAGACGCTCCCCAAGCCTGGAGAAGCCCCCTCACACTCACAGCTGGATTGTAAGCTTCTGCAATGGTGTCTTAGGGTTCACGACCCCCGGGGACCTGCTGCTCTGAGGGACGAGGTCACAGAAGCAGTTGAGCAGCCCAGGGGCGGAGGGTCAGGCAGGGGACACAGGGCGACAGCCAGGCCGTTGCTGTCACCACCCAGGGCCTGCCGTGCTAGACCGCATCCCTGCTTTCTTAGCCCGTGCCACGGGAGGACCTGCGGGAGGACTCACGGGAGGACGTGGGGGGTGGGGCCAGGGCGCCTGCAGGGGAGGGAGGCAGGCCAGCTGGGCAGGGGTGATCCCGAGAAGACGGGGGGCGGCTGGGACTGGGCGGGTGGCCCTTCCTAAGAGGTCAAGGGCCACACACTCCCTGCTGTGCTCCGGACTCCCCGGGAGGACCCAGCACCCACAGGGGAGGCCATGTGGGGCGTTGGGGGTGCTGCGTGCGTGTGTGTGTGTGTCTGGGTTGGGGACCCTTGGGCAGCCCTGGCTTCAAGCCTGGTTGGACCCCTCACTTCGGGCTCTGACCTTTGGTGTCCCCCAACTAGTTGGGGACAGTAAGGCCTGTGAAAGGCCCCAGGCCAGGCCCCTCTCCTCTCAGGAAGCACCCAGTCCTGCCACCACATGTGGGATGCGGGTGGGGACGCCCCAGGCCCACAGCCGCCGGTGGGGAGCTGGAGAAACCGGGGCGGGCTCTCAGGGGGCTGACAGGGGTGAGGAGGGGGTGGCTGAGATGCATCCCCTTCCCCCAGCCTGTGTCCTACGTGGAGCAGGGTTGTTGGGGCTGGACAAGGGAACTGGGACACGTCCAGGGCGCCGAGCAGGGCCTGGGGCACGGTGAGGGTGGGAACGCGATCTGAGGCGTGGGGACCACCGCCCCCGGCCCCCTTGACTCCCTGAGCTACTCTTCCAGTCCCTGCTGTTACCCAGAGCCCCTCGGAGCTCATCTTGGGCCGCTTTCGACTTTTACAGGTGCAGAAACTGAGGCCCAGAGAGTGACAGAGACCTCTTTAAAGGCATGCAGAGAATGGATCGCGGCAGGTGTTGGCGGGAAGCAGGCCTGGACTCGCCGCAGCCCTAGCTCTTGGGCCAGTCCTGAGACACGAGGGCAGGGATGGGATGAAAGTGGACCCTGGGAGCATGTTGGGGGGGGTGCAGGGGGACAAGGGATGATACTGGGGTGCCGCTGTACGAGGGAGCCCCTTTAGTGTCCCTTCCCAGCCCGCACCTGGAGGATTGGCTCATTTCCTCCCCCCACCCCTGCAGGGAGAGGTGGCCTTCCCTGGTCTCCCCCAGGTTCATGCAGTGGCCCCAGGGAGGCAGGGTGGGGACCAGGGAGCTCCCACCCTCAGAGGATGCTGACACCTGGGCTGGAGGAAGAGGCAGGTGCTCTGGGTCTGTTCGATGCAGAGGCTACTGGGGACGGGGGAGAGGGTGGGAGGAGGTCTCTCTGGGGCTGGAGCCCCGCTCCCTCCCCCACGGCCCCCTCGGGACACTTGGCCCCAGCTGGGAGGGGCTCTGGTGGGGCTGCTGCAGGCGCAGGTGTGAGCCCCGGTCTGTGGCGGCCTGGGGACGTGTCGGGGGGCCCTGCCCGTCCCCCATTAAGTCCCACGCATTGTGATCCAGCATATGTCAGTGGTCACTGCATTGACCCACTGCTGGATCATGACCTGAGGCTTGAAGACAGGTCTAAGGGTCAGTCACTCAAGCAACGGTGATGGCGCCCAACCGTAGCAGCGGCTAGAACTTCCGACGTGCATCAGGGTGGAGTACGCTCAGGTTCTCCAACCCGTCCTCGAGGCGCCCTTGTCGCCATTCTTGTCTGATGGAGAGGAGTCCGTGGTCCAGGTCAGGCAGCTGGAAGGGGCGGAGCTGGGGCTTGAGCCCAGACAGCCGGCCAGGTCTGAAATTGCGCGGCCGAGCGGGTCTGTGTCCTCTGAGGAAGCTTCCAGAACCATCCTCCGGGCACACTGGAGAGTTCCCTACATCCTGGGACCAGGCCGGGGAGGGCGGGCTCCAGGCCTCTCCCAGGCCCAGGGCCCTGTCCACCAAGGCCGCCCCGGGCTGGGTTGAGCACTGGCTCCTGCGGCAGCGCTGGACCGGCCCCCTTGGGTCAAGAGTCGGCCACATCCCCCTCAGGGCCTTGGGACCTGCTTTCTATTTCGGCCCTTCCCGGCCTCCGGGCGGCCTCGTGGGACCGGCAAGCTGTGTCTGTCTCTGCGCCGCAGGACTTAGAGGTTGGCCCTGGATGCAGGCGCTCTGCTCGCCCGCCCTAGAGTGGGAGCAGGGCCGCGAGGGGAAGGCCCCTGCAGAAGCCCCATCCACTGTCCCCTACGGAGGGCAGTGAGCTCCCCGCCCCTGTGAGGGGCCAGAAGAGAGCCTGGGCGGGCACGTTCCGGAGCTGCTGCATGGCACCAGCGCCGGGCAGGCAGGAGCACTGATGGCCGCGGGGGAGGGGGCAGAGACCCCAGACCCCAAACATCACTGATCCTAAGATTCTGATTCCGAACTGCAGAGATGTGGTCCCGTCTAAGAGCCTGGGGTCGAAAGTCCCAGGCCAGGCCCTCCTGGGCTCCAGCCCCCGCCCTGAGAGAGGCCACCCTGGGACCTCCCCTCACTATCTTGTGGGAGCGGGGTGGCAAGCTCTTTGCCCCACTGTTCTCTCAGCGTCTCTCTAGGTCCAGATCCTCCCTGGCTTTGAGGCCACCTCTTCCGTGAAGCCTGCATTAACTGTCCTCCCTCAGCCCCAGGGTTCTGAGAGCACTTGGGGCCTAAGTCATTTGTCTGGATTCCCGCATCAACTTGGTCTCCATCTGGATGTTTAGCTCCCCCAGATGAGGCCAGAATTTTACTTGTTTCTTTCTCTCTGATGCTCAGTATATGTGAAGGTATACAGTAGATCAATAAATGCAAATGCCCACTCATTTGAAAAATGGGCAGGCACGATGGCTTGACTCCAACACAGCGCGCTTGGCCCTCTTTCTTGTCTTTCCCAGCTTCCTCAGGGGGCCTTCCAGGTTGCTTTGCACCCCTGTTATAAACAGGGTTCTCCTCCTGGTGGCCGACCCCTCCCCTCCTGCTGCAGCTTCCTCTTGTTCTTGCTGGCCACCCCCCACCCCCACCCCCGACCTCTCCTCCGGGGCCGGGCGGCCGTCTCTGGTCAGTGAAGGGGTTGGGGTGGGGTGGGATGTACGGTCAGTACTGCCCCTCCCTCTTATAGGCAAGGAAACAGACTCTGAGAAGGCAGGGGCCTGAGACCAGCCGGCTAATGGCACTCGGGGCGGGGGGTGACCCCACATTTCCCCACACCGAGCCCCTCCTTGCCACTGATGGGGTATGGTGGGTGGTGGGAGCCGGGGCTGGCCCCTGCCTCTTGAGGGTGCGCTGGACACGCCCCAGCCTGCCTCCTCCCTGACGCTGCTCTGCCCACCTGGGCAGCAGGGACAAAGCCCGGCTGAGGGTGTTGGGAGGATGGCGGGGTCCTTGACCAAGGGGGCCCCTCCCCCACTGCCCACTGCCCCGAGGAGCGGGCAGCGGGTGGGAACGGGAGGAGGGACGCTGTTTCTTTTGGCTAGGACAGTGGCTTTCCGGAAAGTTGGTGCCAGCTCTCTGGGCTAGTGAGTGGGGAGGGCCCGGGGGGTGGGGCGCCAGGGTGTGGGTGGACAGCGGCCACCGGGCGGCCGGACAGAGGTGCTGGTGGGACAGTCCTCATAGCCCCCGCTCGAGGGCCTGGAGACCGACCTGCTTGGACACGGCGAGCTTGCGGGCGAGTCTAACTCAGAGCCCCCCAGCCGTGACCGGCTGGGCGGGACTGGGGTCTGCGAGGGTCCCGCTCAGAGTGAACCTGACCCTGCTGCTCGAGGGTCTCAGCATGCTTTGCATGGTCAGCCCCAGACCCCACGGCGGGGTCGTGTCGTAGACTGTGTATGTGTTCACTCTCTCTCTAAAGTTGAAGCCAGAAGCACGTGGCCCAAAATGCTCACCCGAGCAGCCGTGGATCTGACAGCCCCCTGCCTGCATTTTGCAGAGAATTGACCTGGGGCAGGTGGGGGTCTGCCCTGGGGGTGGG